GACTACATCAAGTCTTGCTAATCTCTACCAAAAGACAAAGTCTTGGTCATCTTTTAAAATCCAAAGAAATCCCAAATGCCAGTGCATCTGAGATTATGAAATAAATTGCCTGAACCTATCTTCAGCTTGGAACTATCTGAATCACATGGCACTTAAAGCATGCCAGTGGACAGTCTCTGAAGAACATGCTTCATCTGGTTCTGCTGTACATTTCTATCCTAGTATCCGTAACAAATTGAAATAATCTGTGCGGACTACTTTACCATTTTTCTTAGAGATTTTGTGATACTCCTCCGGTCCTTAAGATAGGACCCAATTCTTGAGTGGTTTTGGTCTAAATATAAGACCCATTTATCATATTATCAACTTTCTCTAAATTACCCCCATAGACACTCTCTCAACCATAATCAAGTAAAAGAGGGAGATGAGTATTAAGAAAGATAATTGTGGTGTTTTAGGAAAAATGTGTCATTTCTTATAATTAACTAACTTACCTAACTTCCTTAATCTAATCAAATTAGTTAAATGGGTCTTATATTAAGGACCGGAGGAGTATCATTTATGAGATTCTGTTTTGTTTTTGTTATTAGTTACTGGGCTTTCCAGAGAGACCAAGGAGAGTGCTCAAGAGTATGCTTCCACTGGAGTTGGCATGTTGGCTGGATCATCCATCTTGCTTCTCACAATAGTTTGGGGAACCTGTGTCATCACTGGCAGGCAAAACTTGAAAACTGACTCAAGGAATAGATCCTCTCATTATTCAAATTCATCAAGGGCAACTCCTAAAGAATTATTAGCTGGTTTTTCCTCCATCTTTCTCTTTAGTTTCTATGCTTATTAATTATTTTCCAATTGTTAAGTGGTATCTGAACTACCCAGACCAAAAGAAGTAAAGAACTATGCAGTTGATATATGGAAAATATTATACCTCCCGAAACCACACATTAAGAACTGAAGAGAAAGTGGTATTAAACTACACGTGATTGAGATAACAGACGCATGAGGATCACATGGCATCTTTTAGCTGGGTTTGACGTTGTCATTTTAGTCTCAAGTTTGTAAAAATGTTTTTGATGCATTAATATAGGTTCCCTTTGATATTTGTAAGCAACGTATGAAACCATTTTGTTAATATTTATTTATTTTATTTGTTTCAGATTCTTCATTAGTGATTACTTCCTAGCATTGCCTCTCACATGCATCTGATTTTTTCTTTTTCTTGGTCTACTAGGTTTTGGGATTACTATTGATAAAGAGACAAAGGAAATGGCAAGAATCATGATTCTCTCAGTTATACCGTTCATAATTATGCAGATCCCCAGTGTGTTTCGATTCTCTGCAGTGCTTCGCTCTGTGACCCTGATGGGTGCTCTTACCGTTACTGTCATTTTTGTCTTGTTGTACTTCATTTATCAGGTAATTCAATCCAACAATTTCTAACTCTATTAACATTAAACCTTAACAAAGGGAAAAAACTTAACAGACTTATGACGTGTGGAGAGAAGGAATCAGCATTCGTGATACTAAGTCATAAAATTTGATGGAGGAATCAGATAGCAAACAGAGACTTAAAAAATTTATCCAATGCTTTTGTCCATATGATTCTCAATGCAGTTAATGTCAGTCCATGAGAAAATTTACAGGAGAATGACTTCTTGTTTGCTCGTAATCTGCAGATATTTAAACCTCATATAGAGAAAACAAGGCTGGAATACATAAAACATCATGACTTAATATTGAGAATTTTCGAGCATGTTGAAAAGCAAACCCTTCAAAAGATCCTCACTGAGGATGGATCTCCCAATGTGGCAGCCATTAATGGGTGAGTAAGAAGATTTAATGGGGAACTTGTCACAGACTGTTAAATACATGACTAATCACAAATACTTGATAATGCAGGCTATATAACGAAATTAGTCAACACGGTGGAGAGAGGGATTTATTAGCTTCTGAAGTGAAAGAACTGCTGCTCAAGAACAAATTAACCGGGACAGACATCTCAGAGGGACAAGTTGAAGACATGTTAAGAGTGTTTGATCGAAATGGTGACCAAATTATAACCAAGGAAGAGTTTGTCACTGGATTAACACAATGGATTGAGCAAACGAAGCATGCTTTGGATAAACAATACATGCCAAGAAAATCACTCCAGAACATTTATCAGGTAGATATAACATAATATACACCATGCATACATTTTACTTCTGCTAAGTTAAGCACGTCCTCATTACTGCATTAGTTGGTGAATGTGAAGAAAAAATATGGTTTTGGAAAACTTGAAGGAAATATGAGATAGATGTAAAGCAGAATGCTAACTGATCTCGCATTACTAGGGTTTCCTCAAGCCATGGATGGAACACATGAGAAAAGAGCGTGAGATTAAGGGACATCTTGTATCTGAAATCTTAAGGCATGCTCAGAGCGATATGGTTGTGCAGCTTCTCAATGATGATGGAACTGCGGATGAGTCTGCTATAAGAAGGTATCAACTATAACCCTAAACCAAAAAACTCACAGTTACTTACTTTGAAGATTCCGAAAACACAAAATTAACTGTCATCTGAACATAAGGTTGTGTTCGTTGTCCCAGAAACAAGGACTTGATAAGATTTTTGTTGTGTGTCATATATGTTGGTGAGCATTATTAACACTGATATGATGTAACAGGTTGTTTGAGGAAGTTGATAGCAACAGAGATAACAGTGTTTCTCAATCCGAGATACGGAAACTAGTGACCAACCTCCACTTTGGTAAGGCAGTGGATGAGGAGGAAGCAGTCAAGAAAATAATTCAAGATTTTGATATAAACAGTGACAATGTAATTACTGAGGAAGAATTTGTGGATGGATTCACAAAATGGGTGCTTTCATCTTCCAAACAAGCTCCACACTCGAAACCTCAGCCTCACCAGGAAGAAACTCATCAGGTATTCGCACTATTCGTTTCTCTTCTGCAGTTTTTTTCCCGAGAAAATGAATTAATTAGTCTGCCCCATTAAACTTAGTCCATTACGGTTGGTCTCTACACTTTATTACTTAGTTTTGACTCAGTCCTTGAGTAGCTAGATGATTTTTTCAAAGTGGAGAGACCAAGATATTAAATGGACGGAATTGAGTCGGACAAATTAAACTATAGTACTGAGCTGTAATCGAATCAAAACCACATAGACTAAATGATTCATTGTTTATAATGTTTTGAACACTTGATGATTCAATTTTCCTTTTTCTTCCTTATTCTTCTTCTTCTTCTTTTTTTTTTTTTTGTATTAGACCTGGGAATATGTAGAGAAGGTTGTGGAAGAGAAGCATCAGCACAAAGGAATATATGGATGGATCATGGCTATAATAAATGTGGTGGTAGGAATCACTATATTATCTATTCTTGCGGAGCCATTAATAGCAAGTGTCCAGAAATTTTCTGCAGCAGCAGGAATCCCATCTTTCTTTGCCTCTTTCATTTTAGTCCCTCTGGCCACAAATTTTAGAGAAGCGACCTCAGCCATCAAAGAAGCTAGCCACAAGAAGAGAAGTAACACTTCTCAGACAATGTATGAGGTCAGTCATGAGCAAATCACACTAGTCTCCTCTCTAGTTAATTAAATTACAGTTGACACCCCTCTTTGTTTTAAAAATATCCCTTGATTGATTCTCTTAGTATTTGACTAAATTTTATCTAAAACTTACATTTATAAACAAAATTGACTTTCTAGATTTCCATTCTAGAAAGAAAATTACATAGCTGGATGGTGACCAAGAGATTTAGGAAAATTTCAGTAAAAAGTTGATATATTCTAATCTTTAATTTTGAAATGCAGATTTATGGAGCAGTATTTATGAACAACATTCTTGGATTTTCGGCAATTGCAACTCTGATATATGTGAGAGAAATAACGTGGGAATTCTCAGCTGAAGTGCTGGTTGTGGCAATCGTCTGTTCTGTAATGGGCCTGTCTGCAAGTTTTCGGCCCAATTTTCCTCTGTGGACATCCTTCGGGGCATATCTTTTGTATTGGCTGTCTTTAGTTCTGGTTTATGTTCTCAATGATGTTCTTCATTATGAGTGAGCCGCTCTTTGAAGATCTTGACCAGCTCACGATGATATTATCAGGATAATGACCAAACTTTATAATTTATCATGGTTCAGTGACTAACGATAATGTGTAACAAAATGTATTGTTATAGGTTTAGATTTTAGTTACGTCTAATTTTCAAGATCTTGATCTTGCTTGTGATCTGATTACACCTTTATATTTATAATAAATGAACATTGTATGATGTGTTGATCCGAAAAAAGAAAAATTATCAAATTGAGTGCTTTCCCACGTCCCATGAAGTTTGACTTTTTTAAGGTTCCGTTTGGTTCTCAACTTTGATAAATTCTGCTTGAAGCTAGTTTTTTTTTTTTTTGAAATAATACTTTCGGTTTTTAATGAGATTTAATTTGATATTCAATTTGGTTCTAAATATAAGATTTCAATTTATTTTATTTATCATATTTGTCTTTTTTTTTAAAATAATCTTTAGTAGTTGTACATGTTAAATGTTTCATTAAATGATAGTTTTAGTTACCACACATGATTAGCAAAGATATTTTAGGAGAGATAATACTTATTTATTATAAATAATTAACTTAACAAAGCTTTTTAATCTTATCAAATTAATGAATTAGCTCTTATATTAATAACGGGAGGGAGCAATTAAACTCTTTAATTTGAAGATAGTTGACGGGGCCTAAAATGCTTCATCTCAAACCTTAAACAGACTTCAAAAGACAAATCTTAAACAGCCTGTGTGTTGATGTGTTTTGCCAAATAAAGAATTGGACCACGTCAATTTTTTTCCAGAAGTTTGAAAGTATGGAACTGTATGACATTCAATGACTTTACTTGTGCGTCTTAATTTTCTTATTTCCGCTATTTCTTCATGTACTTCTTAACAACTACTTCATAAGAAGGAGACGAAGTCTTTCTGTCCTTCATTTGGGCAACAACCAAGCAAATCATGAGAACCATTCTGAGAAAATTATGCTTTGTTTTATTCATTATTTTTGCAGTAACGATTGTGGTTGAAGGGCGTCATCTGAACTCCAGAACTTTACATAACGAATTGGTTTCAGATGGAGTTCATGATGATGAAAATGAACTTCAACACAACAAAACTTACTTACTTTTTAAAGGCATTGAATTTGAACCAAATTCTCAAGAAAAGTGCAAGCAAATGTATGGCTTCTTGCCATGTTCAAACAGTATTTTTGGCCATCTGTTTCTGATTTCGGTTTACGAGTACTTGTTGTTCCATGGAGAATCGTATTTGGCTGACGGAGGTGAGCGGATCTTCAAGATTCTTGGTCCTGGGATTTTCGGTGCAAGTGCCTTTCACATCCTTAGTGCCCTCCCAGAGTCCTTAATTCTTCTTGGTATGCAACTTCTCTTGGAAGTAAAACCGCATTTTAATTTGATCCTCAGATTATTTCGAACTCTGTTATACTCAAACAGTTATTTTGATCTAATTCTTGTCTTTATAGAGATAGCGTTTCTACTCATGATGATTTTCTTTCATCTCGGCTGTAGACTAGCCAAGTGTCTTTAGTTAACTGTTTGATTTTGTAGCAAGTGTTTTAATTCTTCAGGTTGTGTTTAATCAGAAAATCTAGGGAATAAGTTTAAACGTGAGTGAAATTTTAAATATGACCACAAAGATGCAGCATTGTTTATGGTTATGAAATTCACAAGAAGCAAACATATCATAATTCAGCTTCATTGACTCTTGAGTTGTTTTGCATAATTCTTAAATGGAAGTTAGAACTGGCTTGGATCAGAGAAGTCTATACTGGTGAAGCACTTTAATTCTTAATTGCGTGCAATATTTAAATTTGATGAATTCCAAACGTATGATTCCACCTCTATCTGATGTTGATAAAATTAAATATATCAATCTAAGAAACCTTTCTCATCTCTTACATCCCAATTGCAAATATGTCATATTTGCTTTATCAGTTATGTGATTAGTGTTTATTATCAGTCTCTGGACTTCTCAGCAGTAAGGAGATTGCACAAGAGTATGCTTTTACTGGAGTTGGCTTATTGGCTGGATCATCCATCTTGCTCTTGACAGTGGTATGGGGAACCTGTGTTATAACTGGGGCCCAACAAGTTAACAATGATTCGAGTCTTAGAATCTGTGATGATTCTAATTCAATACCAACAAGACTAAAATCATATTTGACTGGTCTGTTCCATCTCAATTCTCTAATTATGTTCTAACGTCAACTGCATTCACATCATTGGTCAACATAGAATACTGTTTCAAATTCTCAGAACTACCTGCTTGACATGTCTGACAATTTGTGAGATTTTAGGTTATGGCATTACTACAGATTTGGAGACCAGCCACACTGCAAGAATCATGCTCGTCTCTGTCATACCACTCATAATAATGCAATTCCCTAACTTGTTTCAACTCTCTTCTGGGCCAAGAACGGCGACTTTGATAACTGCTCTCATCATTACTGCCATTTTTCTGCTCTTGTACTTCACTTACCAGGTTTCCAACCATCACATTTCTCCAAGTATAAAAGTTAACCTATGCGTGGCCTTATAAGCAAAGTATTATGATGGTTTATTTTATAAAGGAGAAGAGAATACATGCGGGGAGTAGTGGACAAGAAGAAAATGTTTCTGCCAATTGACTTCCATTTTGCTCTTAAATCTGCAGATTTTTGAACCTTGGATACAGAAAAGAAGATTGGAATATGTGAAGCGAAATCATTTAATAGTAAGAATATTACGACATGTTGAGAAGAGTACCCTGGAGAGGATCCTCACCAGGAATGGATCTCCAAATATAAGTGCCATAAGAAGGTGAGATTTCATCAAAAAGCTCTTCCAGTAGATGAGAATTCTGCTTTCTTGTCCACAAGGGTTCTGTTTAGTTCACCACAAGGGCTATCTATATATTGCAGGCTATTTAGAGAAGTGGATCAAAATGGAGACAGTGTTGTATCAGCTTCTGAAGTAAAACAGATCCTGCTTAAGAGCAAATCAAGTGAAAGAAGTATCAGTGAAGAGGAAATAGAAGACATGTTAAGAATTTTTAACTTGGATGATGACGAAAATAGAATAACTAAGGATGAATTTGTGGCTGGCTTTATAAAATGGCTTGAACAAACCAAGTTTGCTTTGAATAAACAATATATGTCAAGGAAATCACTCAAGGAGTTATATCAGGTACTAAATGCACCTCGTGACTTAGAATTCCACACATTCATGCTATAGTTACATGAATTTTGAAATTGGAAGAGCACTTGAGAAGCCGCTGTTTCATTTTGTGTTTCTGACAAACTTGAAAAAATCTGACAGGTTTTTGAGCCATGGATTGAGAATAAAAGAAGAGAACAAGAAAGGAAGAAACATATCATATCTGAAATCTTCAGGCAGATTCAGAGCGATTTGGTTGTCAGCCTCCTTACTGAAGATGGCAAACCTGACGAAATTGCTATTAGAAGGTTAACATCTTGAATTCTTCTTCTCACCTAGCTAGGCGCAAGTATAATAACAATGAGAATGATAATAAACCTTAACTAGATTAAAATCATGTAATGCTAGTTAATAATACTGGAATTCTGAGTTGAACAAGTGAGTTCATATCCACTGATTTCACAGGTTATTCGACAAGATGGATACCAATAAAGATAACTTCATTTCCCGGCCTGAGTTAAGAAAACTACTCAAGGAGAGCAATATTGCTAAAGCATCAATAGATGTGGAGGAAGCAGCTAATAAATTCATTGAAGAGCTTGACGTTAACAGGGACCATGTGATTAGTGAGGAGGAATTTGTTTCTGGGCTCAAAAAATGGCTCAGCTCATCATCTCCCGGTCGTGTTCTTCTCTCAGAGTCAGAGTCACAAGAAGATTTACTTCAGGTAAGTGAAGCACAATAAAGATTCCAATCTTACTCATCTTTGTGTGGGCCAAAGGCCCAGAAGTTAAAATTGATACCATATTGCTGTGATTAAGATGTGGGAAGAGACAGACATGGTGGTGGAAGAAAATCAAAGCAAAGCAGTGATTGATAAATCGGTATGGGCATGGCTGAAGGCAATAATAAATGTAGTGGTGGGGATTGCCATGTTATCGGTCCTTGCAGAGCCCTTGATAGAAAGTGTACGCAGGTTTTCAGACGGTGCAGGAATTAATGCATTCTTCATCGCATTTATATTGATCCCATTGGCCACAAATGCTAAAAAAGCAATTTCTGCAGTCAAAGAAGCAAGCCATAAGAAGTCCAGAACTACTTCTCTTTCCATTTCTGAGGTTAGCCATCATCTCACCATCATCCTTCATTTCTCCAATAATAACGTAATCTATGAAGAAATTTTTTAAGGATTTGGAAGAAATGATTTTGCAGATATATGGAGCGGTGTTCATGAACAATGTGCTGGGATTCTTTGCGATCTCAGTTCTGATATATGCTAGAGGAATCACATGGGAATTCTCAGCAGAAGCACTGGTTGTGGCTCTGGTTTGTATTGTGGTGGGGCTTGCTGCCAGTTTTAACTCCACTTTTCCTATATGGTCTTCCTTCTCTGCGTATCTCTTGTACCCATTCTCTCTTGTCCTTGTTTTTCTCCTCAAACATGTTCTTTCCTACACTTGAGCACAATTTGGAGTGCACCTTTCTTTTATCACACATGTTGACTCTGACGATACCATTGAATTTCATAATTTATAAATAAATGTTCACATAAATAACATCCATCATGACTTGTCAATTCTTGACATGAAGAACTCAGAAAATAACAGGCCAAACCATGTCTGCTCCGGTAGTTCTTTTTATCGGGATCAAACGAAACACATAAACACACAGGCACAGATTTAAACTTGTGATCTCCCTATCAAGAAGGAGCATGGTATTATTATTAGACTAAAAAAGAATGCAATAGCTACTTGTAAGATTTCATTCAAGGTTAAAATATAAATTTGTTTGGAAAGTTTTTACTCGGAACGTTTGGGTATTTAGAATTTTTTTTAGGTATAAATTTGTCCTGAAAATTTAAAATCATAATAATATTAAATTATATCGATAAAAAACTAATATTAACTATTAAAATAGTGATGATATTTTTAACTGTAAGAGGTGATGTTACTATGATTGTAAACTTTCAGAATAAATTTTAAAAAAAAACTTTTGGGTGTTGAAAAATTCCGGAGGACAGATCTGCATTTTAACGATGTGATGTGTTGAGAGAAAAAAATTTTTCAAGTCGGGGAAGATGGAGAAGCATAAAAATGCTGAAGTCAGGTCAATTAATCTAATAGAAATCCATGATGCGGCAGGTAGCCACGTGGAGATTTGGCAATAGCGGAACGCCGCATTTAGGATCATACTATTTTTTTGTAAATTTTTTTATAACCAAATCATCTGAAATTGAGCCACGTCACCAATCAAATCAGTTAATTAAAATCCCATCGTGTCTTTCCCATCTCATCTCATCTGGACCCGCTCATTTTATTAGACCCACCCCCGTGACTGGTGGATCTGAATACTCATAAAACTAATTTTTAATTCTCCTTCAAAGCTTTCCGGGCTTAAAATATTAGTTAAAATGTCAAAAGTTGCGGATCTTTTAAAGCCAGAGGTGAAGCAGTTCATTCGGGTCGGGGCAATATCCGAATATGAAATGGGGTCATTCTTTTTTTTTTTTTTTAAATAACCAGAATGAAATGGGGTAACGTAAAATCACGGATGTTATCGATGATTTAAAACTAAACTCTAGAGTCTAAACTTTATTAATATGAATTTGACTTTGATATCAATAAACAACATCATATTTCGTAAAATTAGTATTAATAATAATTTACTGTTTCCCTAAAATGTCTTTAAGTCTTATTTCAAAAATATTATTATTAACTTTTACAGAAATTATTGAATACAAAAAATTCAAAAAAAACCTCTTGAAATTTTAAATTTTAAATCAATCTTGTTTACTAGATTTGAAAAACAAATAACAAGACATTTTTGTAATAATTTTTATTTAAAATTGTAAAATTTAAAAGGTATTTTTTTGGGCATTTTCTCTATTCAATAACATCAGACTATTTTGAAAAACTAATCTATTGCTTCTTTAAAATTTCCTCAGCCTTTTTTAAATAAATACTACTCTTAATATAATGCATTTTTGGAATCTAAGATTAACAAAGGGCAAAAAAGAACATAAATAATTTAATACATTCTTGAAATCTAAAATTGACAAGTTTTATAAAATATGGAAAATAATAATTTGATGACAGGTAATATGAAATTGCCACCATGTATTGTTGAGGCTAAACATGTTAAACATGGAATTATATCACTATATTTAATCTTGCAAAGCATGCCGACCTATAATATATTTATTTGTTTTTTAACAACGTGCACCACACGACTTAAATTCTCGTTGTTTTGATACGTGTACGGTGATAAAAAATCACTCATAATCTTGCAAAAAAAGAAAAAGAAATGACAATTGGAAAGCAAATTTCCTCATTAAAAATGTTATTAATGAGAATGATCCCATAAATTTTTCTACATATGTGTTGATACACCGCCTATTTTATAGATGCCGTATACATGTACTCTATAATTACCCCCTTTCAAAACTTTTCATTAATTAAATTTTGAATTAATATTTTTTTTAGTTTTTAAAATTTAACCTTTTTATTTTGCCTCTTAAAATTTGAAGTTAATATTTTTGTTTTCTGAATTTTAACTCCATCTTGATCCTTCTAAAATTTTTGGTCATTGAAACAATATTTTTAAAAGAAAATTGGGATAAATCCTTTATTGAAAATTTAATTGGCAAATAAGACATAGGATGCTTAATTATATAAAGAAAGATTAGTGGCATACAAAGGAAGGTAAATTGCATAAAGAGAAGATGATTTGCACAGAACATTATTTGGATATAAAAAATTAGTTTGTACATAGAGAAGATGATTTATATATAAAAAAATTTTATTTGCACAAAGAAAAGTTGTGCTGTATATCTCACAAAGGAAGATTATTGTACAAATTACACACAAGGGAAGATAAATTACATATAATAGAAGTTAAGTTGTACAAAATTCTTAAGTCACATTTGCTAATTAAATTTTTAATGAGGGATTTATTCCAATTTTCTCTATTTTTAATCTAAAAATAAGGTGAAATTTTTAATTGATGAATTTTCAAAAAAAAAAAAAAAGGGAGGGGGGAATAAGTGCTTAGGAGTCGGCCACCTCACTGGTAAAATTGATAAATAATTAACCAGCAGACAAAAAAATTTACTCTCTTCTCTCTCCTCCTCTCTCTTCGAGCGCTTTCTGCCCAGGACCCGCTTCACATTCGCGGCATGCTGGATTGATTTGCTAGCTGCCTAGCTCCCACCTGCCGCCCCCACAGAAAGTTCTGATGAAAACGCCGTAAAAACCCGTCAAATATTCCCCTGTCGTTGTTTTCTTTTCTGTTGAATATCTCTCTGACTTCCTTCCTAGCCATACCTCACTTGGTATATGTCTTGTACATATTCCCTTACCTTCGGCTTCTGAATTTCTGATACTGATTCTCTTTATCCATGCCTCTTCCCACCCGTTTTACCCTCTTCTTTGTAATCCTACTCATCTGCGGTCACGCTCATGGCCGCCACGTTATCCGCCTTCCATCATCGTCTTCCTCCTCTGATCCGATCTCAGATGGAGTCTCTCATGATCCTGTGCAGAGCAAGCACATACTGCTACCCCGGACGTTTCAGTTTCTGACGGAGTCCACCTGTGAGCAGACGTATGGGTTCTTACCCTGCACCACTACTGTGCTTGGAAACTTGTTCCTCATCATCATCTATGGATTTCTTATGTACAAGGCAGCTACTTACTTGTCCAGTGGGAGTGAGCTCTTGCTTGAGATCTTGGGCCCTGGTATAGTTGGTGGCTTGTTCCTTCCCATCCTTGGTGCTCTTCCAGATGCCATGCTTATACTCGGTAAGGATTTGGTTCTTGGTATCTGTTTGGTGAACGGCGAAGTTTGATAGGAGCTCTTCTTTTCTCTCTGTGGGCGCTGTTTGTTTTGCGTGAGGGGGGGGGGGCTTTTTCTTCTTTTTTGATGGCTGAAATGACGGGATAAAACATAGGACGTCAAAAGATCTATCCGATATGTCTCGAGGGCAGGACTATGGAGGAAACTCGAGAGCCCGTTTTTTTTTTTTTCTTTGCTCCTCCTGATTGGTTCCCGTGAGGACCGAGCTCTCAAAGGAAAGAAAGGTTCATGTTTTCAAACACCCCCAACCCCCCCCCCCCCCCCCCAAACAAAAAAAAAGAAAAGGTCAAAAAAGACCTCACCGGTTTGTCCAAGGCAGGAATAAGGAGGAAAATTGGGATAAATTTTCTGATTGGTTCCCTCAAGTACTGATTTTACTTGAACCGGAAACTTTGAACTTTTGATCTTATAGTCGGGATAAATTTTGATTGCATTAGTAGACCTTGGTGACTGAATTCAAGATCATGTAACTTTTCTATAATTTCTAAAATTATTTCGGCAAGTGTTTGCTGAACCATCAGCTATTCAGTTCCGTAAGTAAATCAAGGGTCCAGTATGTTCCTTGTTGTCCTTATTCTTTACTATCAAGCCAAGAGGCTTTTGTGTGAGGAGACATACCGGATTACTATAATAAAGCTATTTGTGCGCCATTAAGTGAAATGACCTTTGATACTGTGAACTTCGTTTCCACATGTGATATTGTATTTATGTTCAAATTTCTCTTGAGCGAAATCTTCTGATTATTGTTAACTTCCTTTTTGTGTTCATCTCACTATTAAAACTGATATCCACCAAGTTCTGTAATTTGCCTTTTATTGTTTCTAATCTGTTTCTCTCGTTTATTATAGTATCCGGGCTTTCTGGTAGCAAAGAAACCGCTCAAAGTCAGGTCTTTGTTGGAATGGGCTTGCTAGCTGGGTCAACAGTTCTGCTTCTGACTATTATTTGGGGAACCTGCGTAATTGTTGGGAAGTGCGACCTTGTGGATTCAAAAGCAATAGATTCACAAGACACGAGGGGGTTTAGCTTAACCGGTATGTATTTTTATGCTGCTCTACGTCACATATTTGATAATAGAGAGTCAGGTTAGCAGTCTTTTCCTTTCCCAAGGTGAGGAAAAAGTCTTTATTTCTCTCAGTGGTCATCCAAGCAATATGCTCATTTAGTCAGCGTGTGCCTGGGTTTTAGGAAGTAAGTACAGATGTTCTCAGACTGCTTTATGGTTACTCTTATAACGTGATATCGAGGCATAATCATTCTGATCAAAGCGGAAGAATGGAGCATAACTGGGAGTTTGACCAATTTTCTCTGAAACTTGGCCAACTGAGAATGAAACCTTGGTTAATTAAATGCAACATCTTCATGGCACATGTTCATTTGTAAATACTCCTCAATATTTTTTTAATGTTAAATGGGTGTCTTTAAGAGAAGTGGGAAATTGGAAATTAGAAGGAGGTGGTCAATATATACTGAATTGATGCTTCTTGTTGTGTCTCAGTTCTTAGTTGTATTGGTTTGTAACCTTGAGAAGGGTGCTAGGCAGAGTTATATATGACCTGCTATTTTCTTTTTCTTTTCTTTTCTTTTCCCCCTTTTGTGAGACCATTATTTCGGCATTTGTGCCATACTGTCCAAGTGTAGGAATTATCATTCATAAGGATCCTTTATTTAATATAACCTCCGATTGCAGGCTCCGGTGTTAGTACAGATATTTGGACAAGTTATGCAGCAATGATTATGGCCGCATCCGTCCTTCCATTTCTGATTGTTCAGTTACCACAAATTCTTAAGTCAACTTCAGGAAGGCACCTGGCTGTTTTGATTGCACTCATTGTCTCCTTGTCTCTGTTGGTTGCTTATTGCCTTTACCAGGTAAACTGTACTGTTACTTTATTGGCGATAGGTATCTATTTTGTTTTCTGAGCACTTCCATTATTGGGTTGACCGTATTTAGTATCTTTAGATATGCAATTGACCAATTTAGAGATAATTACCATACTTCTGATTATCAGATAATTAGGTTTCCGTACATTTTATTTTATGACTCTGTGCGATTAGCAAGTATTTTACTTTTAAGCAGCTGCATTGCATCCAGCCTTAAATATATATATTTTATTTTTTGTAAGTAGCTGTGACTGGCACTTAGTGATCACTGCATATTGGAACTAAAATTTATGACCTCATTATTGTAAATAGTAACTTCTGAGAATTGTTTCCGTATCCTGATGAAATTGTGGGGTGGAAAATGCAGATTTTCCAGCCTTGGATACAAAAGAGAAAACTTGATTATGTGAAACACAAGCACGCTATTTTAGGCCTTTTGAGACACTTAAAGCAGCATGCATTGGGAAGGTTACTAAGAGATGATGGTGAACCTGATGAAGATATTATTAGAAAGTCAGCTGCTCTTCCTGATTGGACTTAACACATTTTTTTCCTTTAGCATAAGTATTCTTCTCATATTTTCTTCTTTTTTTGTTTTGGTAGTTACTAACTTCTCAATGGATATTAGTACAGGTTGTTCAAGAGAATTGATGAGAACAAGGATGAATACCTTTCTTACGGTGAACTAAGAGCACTAATTATTGGAATTGAATTTGAGGGGATTGACCTGGATCATGATGATGCTGTAAAAAGAATAATGGAGGATTTTGATACTTCTCGGGATTCACGTCTTGATGTAAATGAATTTTTAAATGCTATACGTAGATGGCTTCGAAGGGCTATGCGTTCTAAGGCTGCTTCTGCGGATGCTGGTCCGCGGACAATAAAGTTCTTAAACGATTTTCACCAAGTAAGTGGTGCTCTGCTGAACTACTTGTAGGAAGTCTGTCTTTATGGAGCTTCTGAATGGCTGACATTTTCTGTGCAGGAAACTGAAAGGGAACGTGATCTATTGCATGTGGGAAATCATAGCGATACAGTTGAGGAGGGTGTAGCTGATACTAAATGGAATGTTATCAAAGCAGTGCTGCTGCTGCTTCTTGGGGCTATCGTAGCAGCTGTATTTGCTGATCCTTTGGTTGATGCAGTTGATAACTTTTCTGATGCCACAAGCATTCCTGCTTTCTTCATCTCCTTCATCGCGCTGCCTTTTGCTACAAATTCCAGTGAAGCAGTGTCAGCAATCATTTTTGCCAGTCGTGATAAAAGGGAAACAGCCTCATTAACCTTTTCTGAGGTTTGCATTCTATTCTGCACTCTTCATTTCTGATAAGAGGGAAAATGCCTCACTAACCAAAACATAAAATTAAATGAAAGTCTGAGGATCAATGGAGTGATTGAGCAAAAAGTTTTTATTCTGCTTGTAAAATAAGTAAGGAACTTGTATTTGAATTATGTTTGGATTCTGATTGCGATGTCTTTGCAGCTATATGGGGCAGTGACAATGAACAATGTGCTGTGCCTATCGGTGTTCTTGGCCCTTGTCTATGCAAGGGGATTGACATGGGACTTCTCTTCAGAAGTGCTGGTTATTGTCATAGTTTGCGTTGTCATGGGTCTCTTTGCCAGCTTCCGCACCAGCTTCCCTCTCTGGACGGCTATAATGGCTATCCTACTGTACCCATTTTCCCTGGTCTTGGTGTATGTTCTTGATTATGTGTTTGGCTGGTCATAGGCCTTGAAATGTTTTCAAATGTCATTACTTTGTTTGGTTTTTAATAAATTCAGTTGTCGGGATGTTTTGTTATTATAGTGTTCCTTGAGAGTGCTCTATGGTTGCCAGCCTCCTTTAGGTGTGAGACTTACATAATAATGATGAGATTGTCTTCAATTGATGTCATCTTTTTGCCCAGCGTCCTCATTTCTCCCTCTTGATGGCGAAAGAATGAAGATTACTCTGCTTGGACGATGAAGTTTATGGCTTAGTGATCAAATCAATCACTAATATTACGTATGTGACTTAGTAACACCGATACTAGCCTACTCATTAGATTTTGCGTTGATACCGTTGAATTAATTTTGGATATTTTAATGATCAGCGGGTATATGTGAGTGAAAGGAGTAGGTGAAGAGCCTCCTACTGAATGTTAAATATCCTTTATTGGGCGGTCCCTTATGCTTGGGCATATGCTTTGTCCTTTGTTTTTTTTTTCAAAAAAAAATCTGTGTGGGCGTTTGTGTTGGAGATAACCAAGTTTATATTTCGAAGAGCCCTGATGCTCACTTGAATTATTTTTCATAAAAATAAAAAACTAAAAGACTGGCCAAATGCCTCCCCAATTCACGTGCAGAATTTTGTCATTATATTACCACCAGTTAAACAAATACAATGACAAAAAATGGATACAGAAAAAATAAAAAAAATTCTAAAAGACACATCACCAGCAGAAATTCAGAGGCATTAGTTCCTCGCGTGAAAAGCAATAAGGTGTCTTTTCTGAAAGAGTCCGTTAGCGAGGAGCAGCCGGTGCGTAGAAGTAATAAAGAAAAGTATGTTCATAGCTTCAAATTCAAATCAACACTTTCTCGCACTCCATTACCATTCTGAGTTCTGGCAGCCGTTTGGCCTACTTGTGCTGCTTTTGCTACTGGCGGGATGAAGATATAGAATGGTTGCTGCAGTTGATTGAATCTACTGAATACTGGCGCTTGAGTAATTTGACCTTCTACAATCCCCTTTAGCATGCAAAATGAAAGCTAAGCATAGTCAATGAACGGGAAAATCTGCAAGTCAAGTGCAGTTAAATCCTATTAAAGTGTAGGAAACAATTATGATTTAAAATTTAGTAATTTTCAGGTTTTTTTTGTGTGGGATTTTCCCTCAATAAAATCAGCCAAACAGGAGAACAAAAATTAGTATAACTGATAGATCAGGATCACATGATAGGGGGAGGGGAGGGGAATCTCATACTAAGTTTTTATTGAAGTAGATAGTAAATACTTAAAAGAACTTCTGTAATAAAGGAAAAGGGTAAAATGAGTTCGCCAAAACCTGACAAGAATGGGAGTCTTGTTGAGGATATTCCTGATTGTGAAATGCTAGCACTGTTGGAGGAGACTTAGATTTTGAAGGCGGAGATGATGAAGTGGGTGTTGGAGTTGACACTGCGAGAATGCCTCCATTGAAATTCTCATTTACTGTGTTGAGTCTCTTTGAGTTTGCCTCTAAGTTGGATGTTGAAGAGGAAGGGACTTCTCTGTAAGATTTGATGAATAAGTAAACAATGGTATGAGGAAACTAAATCTGCAATTACAATGTAATCACCAAAAGATCAAACTGAAACAACCTGAAAGTTGCATTGGCAGCATAGTAAAATCCACTCCCGCTCCCACAACAAGTTTCGTTCATTTTCATAGGAGCAGCAATGGTAGGCAACCTAAAGTTAAAAGGGGCAGGTGGGACATCCTGAGAGAAGGGGTATGACCTTTTCATGCCAATCATCTGCACTTGAGTATAAAATATTAAAGTTTTATATAGAGATTTATATACTAGTAGTATATATGCAAACTCATCGCAAATTGAAAGGGAAAAAAACATCTCTTATCTAAATCCCTTAGTTCAAAATCTCATTGAATTAAGCAAGATATGTTAGTTACCCTTTGATTATTGAAAGAAAACAAGAGATTTTTTTTTTGGGGTCATAAAGGTAGAAGGAAAGTTGTCATTTTTATTCATTCATCAATTTGAGTTTTTTATGTTTTGGCATTAATATCAAAGATGTCATCGGATTTTCTCTGACCTAATTAAAATCGATCCACTATGTGATTTCAAACAACCTCTTTTGGTGAAATATTGTGCTTTTAGGAGAACCGAGACGACAAAAAGGAGCCATCTCTTCCTACCATGGAGATTAAAGGGTGAGGATTCAGACGGGGAGAGAAAACAAGAGAGAAATTTTGGTAGGCCCTACACGATAGATGGAACTCGCAAACGTCTCTCTTATTCAGGTAGAGAGAGAGAGAGAGAGAGAGAGAGAGAAAAAAAGAATGGAGAAATTACGCTAAGGTGTCATCAAGTAAGAGAATTTATCATTATACTAATAACTTGTAAGGCCCGAGTGTAATTTTTTTAGAAAAAGATTTTGGTAGATCCAACGTGTGAGGTGAGACGAACATCTCTCTCTCTTCACCTATTCACCTGACCTCAGATTCATGCCTCATTTCGGCTAAATACCCACCACCAAAATTGTTACTTGTATTGTAATTATTCCTCAATTTCACATGAAAATAATCAAACGCCACATTCAAACAACTAAGATCAATCAAAATAGAGTAAACTATGAATAAAAGCACAGCTTGCAAGTACTTACCTTCTCAGGCTGCATCTGCAAAGGCATCCAGTGACCACTCTGGTTTTGGTTTGAAGGGGGCTCCATTATTGAGTAACGAAGTGAAGGTGTTGATGAAGTCCCTGACGAGCCATTCACCTACAGGTTCCACAAACCATCCTTTCTTATATACACCAAAGTAGAAATTTGAGCTAATAAAGGATGCCAATTGAGAAGTATCTTACCATTGAAGATGGAGGCTGTTGACGTGGTTGTGTTATTCTAACCCATTTTGGGAGAGGCCTAATGGAATTGGAATTGGATTCATGAGGCAAGCTAGATAGAAAAACCAACCCGTGTTCAACAACAGAGCTCTTCTCAAAATCATTATTCTCATCGGAGCCCCTAAACTCAGAGACAATCCCATGGCCTGGAACTATAACAGTGTTTGACACTTTATTATCATCCACGTTTCGCAGCGGCAGAGAAGGAAATGAGATTGGAGAAAAAGAAGGTTGATCGTAGTGCTCAAACTTTGGAATTGATCGAACCAGATAGGAAGATTTGCTTGAAGATACAGAAAATAACGGTGGTAAAATTGCCGAAGATGCTATAACTTCATCTTTCTTTTGCTGTTCTTCAACTCTCATTTTCTCAAGCTGAGCTACCCCAGGTCCTCTCTTGGGATCTTCTTCAACTTTGGCTTTTTGCATGGTCTAACCAGAATTGCTTCCAAAGTTGTCACCACCAGAACTATTGCCACAGTTTGGATTTGATCTTCTCGAGTCATTATTGTTATCTTCTGGTTCCTTACGCTATGCGTAGTTTTGATCACTTTCATGGTCAGCTCTTTTAAGCAAAAACAGATACGCAGATTTGTAGGTATAGAGATCTCGTGTTTGATATCAGACCCAACACTCGGATTAAATATATCCAGGAGGAAAATCTAAGCAAGGTGAAGATTACACTAAATCATTGGCTGGGGGAATCTGAGGAACAAATCAAAAGGCCTAGCCAATTATTGAGCAGAGATTAGAGAGAGTGAAAAGAAGTATCTGAAAGGTTTCGGATTTTTCTCAAATCCAGTTGTGCTTGTCTTGTCTGAGAGACGGATCAGACAGAGTGGATTAAATTAACAAAAAGGAAAAACTAGGCTAAAAATGAATGTTTAAACTGAAAAAATGGTTTAATTTTAATTTTGATTTCGGAATTTTAATTTTTGACCCTATCAAATGAAAAAATATAAATAAAGGATTACGAAATTGCATTCTTAACTGCCTCAAATGAAAAAATATCTATACGTGGAAAAAAAATAATGAAATGTCATTCTTAACTGTAAGCACTGTGTAGACTGACTGCTGCTTTTTGATAGATTAATATTGTTTTAATAAAAGATATCTAATACCCATATAACCAAAAAAGAAGAAGATATCTAATACCCTTATTTTGACAATATAAACCAAGTTTTGAATTCAAATTGAGTGGTCGGTTAGAGAGATTTTTTGTAAAAAGAAAAAGAAAAAAATCTTTATTGATTCTATAATGCAATATTAATGATATTTTGAGAAATAACTGGATCACGGTTCGCCTAAAATCTAAGTTCAATTACACTTAGCTAGTTTATAATTATCCATGAATTATAAACAATGGAGATTGTAGAGTGTAAAGACTATCAACGACTATTTCATAAAATGATTTTTCAATCATGTTACACATATTAATAAAACGTAATTATTTATTAGAAAAATTAGGATAAAAACTCTGATTGAAAAACTAATTAGGGAATAATCCTTGAAATGATACTTTTGATATTTTTTATATATAAAAAATATTGGTATTCTGAATTATAGGTGTCGTTTAACAATTAATTTTTTTAATTATAGGAACTATTTCCTAATTTTTCGTTATTCATTTATTATGGTGTAATTGGAGACCAAACTTTTCATCTTTGCCCTTGGTCAATAAATAAAGAAAGCGTATGTAATTAATACTCATTTAGTCCTAAATATAACATCTATTTTATAATATAAATTATACTATAAAGTAGATCTTAAATTTAAAAATGGACGAGTACTTTGTATAACCTTCAAGGGATTAGAGATAAAAGAGTCTTATTAATCACATTAATGCCAGTTATACATGAATGCATGTCAATATGTCATACAGCTAATTAATACTTTCAAGCTAATTAATACTTTCTCCGGTCCTTAATATATAGTATATATGAAGTAGATAGATAACAAATTAACAAATTTGTAGAGAATAAAAAAATTAATTAAGTTAATTATTTAAAAAATATATTAATTTTTCTAATATATCCTCTATTATTATTATTTGGATTGAAATTATTTCCTGATGAAAGCATCCTTACTACATGTACTTAATAGGAAATGTTCGTGAAAAAAAGTTATAAGTTTAGAAAATAAATTAAATTGAAATATTTTTTTTAGTGAAAAGAGATATAATTGGTCGCAAATAATTACAAGCAAAGAAAAACAGAACGAGAGTTGGAAAGAAAAGAACAAATCTTCAAATCAGGCTAGATGCATTTGTTTGTGATAATCCTGAGCCTGGACTCCACTAGCTGCTCGCTCAAAGGCAGAATCCCATTGATCAAACGATGGGGATTAGTAGTTTCGTGGGAGAAAGCATCACGATTCCAGGCGTCCCATGGTTTCCAGGATAAAAGTCCAAAGACAATACGCCAGGATCGGTTATGCTGTTTTAGTCTAAGATTCTGCCTAAGCCATTCATGGGCATGATTTATAATATACGAGGAAATATATGACAAGAATTTTATCTTAACTTATTTTTTTCGACATAGTTATTAGAGTTCATCAGTTGTCATATGATGTTTCTGTCTCACCTGGTTGATGGGAAAATTAAATTTTATATTTAGAATCAAAATAAATCTTTTAATTAATTCTTATATTTAGAATAGATAGGAGTAATATATTGAGATTGGGGAATGTCTGTAATGGATAGTTTGATTTGATTTATCTCAAACTAAGAACCTAAGTTTTTATGTAATATAAAATTTATTAAAAAAAATTATTTATAAATCATGAATGATGTGATTTATCCCATGTAGCATAATGCTCACACTCTAGTTGTCCTAAATCTTAACATATGATTTATTACTCCATTAATACACCGCACGAAATATGCCTTTGGATTCCTTTAAAGAAAGAAATTGTACGTGTTAATTAAGATTCCTCTTCTCTTTCATTTACACAATGAAATAATATTACGTATATTTTCCGTCTGGAACTAAAAAGGCCACAGATAGCTTTTTGATATGTACATGACTTGACTCTTAGGCTGTATTAGGAACAATGCGTTACATAAGACATCATTATTAAGTTAGGGAACTGTCGAGTTAAAATAGGTGTTGGTTCACTTTTATATTAATTACGTACATGAACTGGAGTTTCAATATGTCTTGTCTCTTTTATGCGATGCCAATAAGGAAAAGATATAACAACCTTTTCAACTTCAGGTCCAACAAACAAACTGGCATATGTATCAATTTTAATACACAAATAGGCAAATAGTTAAACAGAAAATCAGTATCTATCCATTTCATAAATTACAGGTTACAAATCCAGGTAGGAGTTTTATTATCAACAAAAGACACTCCCATCACCATCATTGAACCAATCTTAGAGCCTCCATGGCCCCATCTTTTCAATCAATCGCAGACTTGAAGATAATATATATATTGGTGATATTTCATTTTCATTTGGCCTTAGTTGGATGAGTCATGGCATCTAACATCGAACATTTGTGGAAATTGGATTTATTTGTGGGATATGTGCCAACTATTTAGGCTGTGATATTGAAGCAAAAAGCCAGTGATCATGAAAGTTACTAACTTGAGTCACCCCTGATCCTCATCAAGCTTTTCAACAAGCGAAATGGCTATTTACTTTAATATAGAATTTATCAAATTTAAAACTTTTAAACAATTTTTCTTAAATTTACAACTAATTGTCTCACGCACTTGTGAGGGGATAGGTATGGCGATTTTTGACTATTTTGGAAACACACCTGGAAATGGAGATCCCTACCTTTCCTCACCTTCATTCATATGGACTACTCATCTTCAAGAGATAAACCATCCGCTTCAGTGTTGTTGGCTAGTCGCTCCACCATTTCAGTATTCAAAACAATCAATCACCATGCAAGCTATTGGCTGGTCTTCCATTTCATCTAATCTTATATCACCACCCTCACACCATCCCATCGTCGGCAAACAATCTTCAGGTCCCTGCTTTTTCTTCTCCGGTACGTGTCCCTTCTTCTTCGCCATTGTTTTTCATCGGTCTTTCTGCTTCTGGGTATCTCAGATTTTAATGTTTTAATGATGTTTCAATTTGAAAGAAGATGAAGCCTTGTTGCTCTTGTTAATAAGGAAGCGGCTCTATTGAACTCCGGTGCTCTGAGTTGTAGTGGCATTAATAATTATGTATAAAGGCTTGGGTAATTAAATTGTAGAAAGTATGGGATTCACGTTTTCAGTGCTTTAAATGCCTCAATTCTCAAGCTTCAAAGAATGTGAATACTAATCTGGGTGATGCTGTCTGCACCATAGTGTAACACATTACGTCCGGGATATTCAGAGCTGATTCCAGGAATTTATTGCTTCTGAAAGAATTAAAACCCTTTTAGATATGTGATTTGAAATATTCATGCGGCTTATCATCATATGCGTGCTCTTGGTTTATATAATGAAA